CGAGGAGAAATCCAGTATGTCCCTTCCACATGAAACATTGTGCCTTCAAGATTGGCCATTCACTGAAAACAGAGAACTCGGGTAATAGCAAAAGACTAATGCTATGGCCCTTCTATTTGTGATGTGTGTATCCCGGAGTCCTTGGCATCATCTCTTGTCCTGGATTAAATGGAAAATAATTATATCCAGATACCCAAAAGTGAGAAAAGATAGAAACCAACAGAAAATGTCTCTAAAAGTCACTTATAATTCCAGAGATAAAGTTCCTTATAATCAGAGATAACAACTGTTTAATTGGGAATTTATCTGTGAACATATCTATTTTATTTGTGAACAAGAAGATGGGAGATTACTCATAAAATTTGATTGAGCTTAAAAACAGAGACATCTATTACACATATTTATCTAGACTAAAAACACATAGGGTAGGATCTTCCCTTGATATCTCAAGTGACAACTAGGCTAAGAATGGAGATTTGGAGGAAATTCAGATTTCCTCTTCATCCCAGTCTTCATATTTCTTGAATGTCATGGAATTCTACAGAGATCAAAAGTACGAACAGCTTGGAGAAAAGTTCTGTGCAATACTAGTTGGAACACAATTTTAAAATAAAACTGCATCTTAACTTAGAAATCTTTCAAGGAGATAGTGAAGCACACAAAATGCTGTGCCCCAGGATACTGCAGAAAATCCAGCTGTTCCTCAAAAGGGAGAGGTCAAAGAAAATACATAGAATCTCCCAGTTCCAGCTCCAACACAAGAGACCATCTCTGCAGTACAAGGCAGGTGGGAACAGGTGTTGTGGACCACTGGGTTATAGAAAAGCCATTAATCTTCAGCTTGGTCGACTTCCTCATAATGTTTTATATTTGTGTATTCATTTGAAAGGCATTGCAACAGAAAGAGGGAGAGACAAAGAGAAATCTTTAAGCCTGCAGCATCCCATTTTGGAGTGCTTCTCTGAGTCCCAGCTGCTCTGCCACTAATCCAGCTTTCTGCTAAGGTGCCTGGGAACACAACGGAAGATGGCCCAAAGACTTGGTTCCCTGCCATGCATGTGGAAGACCAGAACAGAGTCTTGGTCCTGGCTTTGCTCCAGCCCAGCTTTGACGGTTGCAAGCATTTGGTGAACAAGAGGATGGCAGATACTCTCTTCCTTTCTTCCCCCCTCCTTCTCCCTCTCTGTCACTCTGCCTTCCAAATAAATAGATAAATATTTTTAAAAAAACAAACAAGAAGAAGCGAAAGCGATTGGAAATCAACAACTCTTCAAATCCACCAGAAAAGTGAAGTTTCAAAGTAAATTGTTATGCTGACATATGAATTCTGACAGTCACAGTCAAGATCTGCTAAGAAACAGACATCACTGGAGCTGTGACTGGCAGGGATATTCAAACACAAGTTTTGGCAAATTGCTAGCAGCCAAGTGTAGACTGGAGAGAGCATGAGAGACTGGTTGCCACAATCTTAGGAGGACCCCTAAACTTTGACAAGCTATCTCTGAGAAAATCTGAAAATCCCTTCTTTGCTTGAGCAGAGGTAGGGGTATAATTACTCAGTGTCCTTAAGAAAGATCCATTCTCCTGAAGAAGTGACTTTACCAGAGTTCAATGTAGCTGGGAAAGAGTATTCTCTCTCCAGCTCCCTCTAGTCCTCTATCTCACCTAAGATAGGAAAGAAAAAAAATTTTTTTAATTTAAAAAATGCATTCAACAGAGAAAAGAACTTCAAGAAAACAGTCAGGGAAGAGAGTTCGGGACAGGGATTTTTTTTTCCTTTTCCTTTTGCTTTTAAGTTATAGTAATGAAGAAATACTTGTGAAGGTCATAGTCTGGAGTTACAAACTCTTTAAAAACTGAGACCTACTGAGTTCAGGTCCATAGCATCACAGTAGGATACAGATGAAAAAGCTCTCAGATCTTGGCCCTATCTAAGCAGAGTTCTTAGAGAAACTCAAGGGAAAAAACACAAAAATACTAGGGGAATTTGAATCATGTGGCACCTGCAGCTAGAGCAAATACAGTCTATCTCCTAACCAGCTTAATGTCAAACATCACATTCAAGGCCTGTTTGATTCATATCCTATTCCCCAATATGTCATTTTCACTTTTCATCCAAAACAGAAGATGCAAAAATTATAGGAAAAAAAACACATAACCTGAAGAGACAAAACAAGCATTAAAACAATATGACACGAATGTTGCAATCATCAGGTTAAGATAACTATGGTTAATAAGTTAAGAGTTCTAACAGAAGAAGTAGACAATGTTTAATAATGGCTGGAAAGTGAAGAAGACACATAGAGATTCTATGAAAGTACCATAAGCAAATGCTACACATAGAAAACACTGTATGAGAAATGAAAAGAGGTATCAATGCTCTCAGAAGACTGACTTCAACTAAGGAAAGAAACAGTGGGACCGAAGACATAACAATAGGAATCTCTCAAAGTGAAATCTCTCAAAGTAAAAAAAAGGGGGGAGGGTCCCCTTAAACTGTGAGAAAACTTCAAAAGGCATGATATACATTGGTCATTGAAATATCAGAAGGAGAGGTGCGCATTTGGCATAACAACTAACTCTCCATTTGTGACACCCTAATCTCACATCGGATTGCTTGGATTCAAGCCCTTGCTTCATTTCTAATTCCAGCTTCCTAAGGCACACCCCAGAATGTAACAGTGATGGCACTAAGTGATGGCTAACTAAGGCGTTAGCTTCTTGTCACCCGTGTGGGAGACCTACACTGAATTTCCATCTCCCAGCTTCAACATGACCCAGTCGACATGAGCATTTGGAGACAAACCAGCACATGGAAGCTTTCTCTGTCATGGTGTTTTTCTGCCTCTCAAAAAAAAAAAAAAAAAACTAAAAGAAATATGAGAAGCCAAAGAAAGATCCAAAGAATTATTTGGAATAACAATAGCTGATTTATTCTGAATGTTTCTGCTGACTTGCAAGTCATATGTTGAAACTCTAATCCCCAAGGTGATGGTTTCAAGAGATGGGGATCTGTGAGAGATGAATGGATAATGGGAGTGGAATCCTAATGAAGAGAGCAATGTCTTCTAAGAATCCCAAGGGATCTTGTTTGCATCTCTTGCCGTACTACCACCAGACACCCAATCTACTGGTGCCTTGACATTGGACTTGCCTACTTCCAGCAATGTGAACAATACAGATCTCTGTTATTTATAAATTCTCAGACTAAGAGATATGGCAGCCCAAATGGACTAAGACAGTAAGCAATGCCTTCCCACAAGTAAATAAAATAGACAATAAAATATTATGAAAAATGAAAGAAGACGACACAGATCTGTTTTTGGTTTTTGGCTTTTTGGTTTTGGGGATTTTTTTTGTTTGGGTATTGTTTTGGATTTGTTTCTCATGAGTAGTCACACTTTGGACCAGGACAGTGGACAAAATGACATTCATACATATGGAGAAAGATTTCTCAAAGAATGTTTTCTAAAATATAATGGTCATATTTGCTGTGATTTTCACGTGCTTTACATGTTTTACTATGGTCTAGTTTGCTTAAGAAAAGCATGTAACATAGCTGTGTTACAGTAGTCAGCATTTTTATCCTGTTGAATACAGAAGATCTAATCTCTCACTTCCTTTCTGGGAACTAAAAACATCTTTCTGCCCCTGAAGTTGGGACCTGTCACCATGACAATCTCAAGTCTTATATCCCAATAAATATCCCCAGGCAAGAGAGGCCAAAGCCTGCATGTTCAAAAAGGCAGAGCTACCGTAGCACAGTAACCCTGGGGAGCACATGTCAGACTTTCTTCCAGGACTCGAAATGTTCTCCTCTCAGTCCAGCAGCACATCAGTTTGCACACACCCCAGAAAAGGCCCTATGTCCCTGGCCTCCCCAAAATGGCTCACTCCTACAGCAGGTGACAAGCCACTCCATCCAGCCTCACCAGAACAGATTGAGAGCCAGGAGCTCTTAGGAAAAGGGACAGTTCACATTGAACTTAAAATACTTAGTGCCCTCTCCTCCTTGTGGGCATTTGGGCTGAAAGGTGGCTTCCTGGGTGTTGGTGAAGAAAGTGATCAAGACAATTTCCCCTTTGCATGGTAGTATAGGATACACACCATCCACTCACCCACCTCTGCTCTACTGTCCCCTTAGTTTCAGTTGCTGTGGTCACCACCCGCTCTTGGCACTCCTATGCAAAAACACATTGACTCCTCAGAAGCAATTGAAAAGCTGGAAGAGATAACTCATAGCAACCTGAGAGGATCATAAAAACATGGCTCTGAGTAGAAGACACAAAGACCTCTATTGCATGTGCTTAAATAAATAAAAAACGCAAACACCCCAAGCAATACACATTGCAAAAGAACACATGATGACAAAAGGTGTATACTAAAAACATGAAACAGGTGTTCGTGAGCATTGGAGTTAGAGCGAGTCACAAATGAAAACAGAATTTAAGGTGCTAAAAACTCAAATTTGATAAAACATACTTACTTCTGTGTTCTCAAGCCCCTTGCCTCATTTTAGCACCTAGGGGGATCCAAAGCTGTCCAAAGCCTTCCCTTGCTATACAATACCCTCTCCTTTTTCCACTTGGAATACTCACCCCTTCCCCATTATTTCCTCTTCTCTCCCAAGGTCTTCTCTCCTCTCCTCTCCTGTTCTTCCCCTTCCCCTCCTTCCCTCTTCTCTCCTCTCCTCTCCACTCCCCCCTTTCCCCTCCTGTCCTTACCTATTTTCTCCTCTCCTTTCATTTCCTCCCCTCTCTCTTCCCCTTCCCTCTCCTTTCCTCTCCCCCTTTCTCTTCTATCCCCTCCCCTTCCTTCCTCTCGTCTTTAAAGCTCGGCTGCAATCAGAGGCTCCGGGCTAAGTTCAAGGCTGTTAGCAGTCACAGGGACAGACTTTCCTTTTTAGAGCCTACTCTGCTTACACATCTCAGCAGGTCAGGGAGCGGTGGAAGCTCATCCTCCAACCTGTTTGTAAGAAGACTCACTGCCTTCAAGGAGACATGACTCTGTACTGGAGACATCTGCCAAGGGCCTGGTGCTTGAACACCTGCTCTCCCAGGATCACCAAGACCTGCCCTGCCTTGAACCGTAAGTGACAACTGGGGGGGGACATAAGTCAGCAGGGGGTTGGCCAGGGAGGAAGGGCCTGAGTTCTGGAGCCTCAGGCCAGGATAGGGTCTTCAAGACAGAGAATACAACACAGCAGTCAGTTCTCAGCCCATCCGCTCCAGTCCTTCCTTATAGTAACCAGGAGTTTTGTAATATTCCCTTTTGAAACTCAGGGATAATGAAACCTGACTACACACAATTTTGAAAGAAAATTAATATGACATTTCAGTGGAAATTATAGAGAAGTCAAAGGAAAGCAACTCCAAAAAAAGTATGAAATTCAGGAGAATCAAGATGATAGAATACAGTACGGACACATATAAACAGACAGAGAAATATTAGCCAGTGTGAAGCATAAAAGGCACATTCTAGGAAATAGAGGAAGACAGAACAACAGCAGAGGGGCACCTGAAGACTGGCAGACACAAAGCTGTGATGTTGCAATGACTGATATCCCAGCAGCATTCAGTGAGCAGTAATCTGAACTGCACTTGCAACCGGAACTCTACCAGCAACGGGGTGGGAAGGGGTATTCACCAGGAGCTCAAGGCAAAGAAATGCCTGCCCTGCTTGTCTCTTTGATTTGACCAGGAGCACAGACAGAGCGGCAGGTCCCAGAGGGGTAGTGTGGGAACAGGATGGATTTCACAACCCAGTTTGCCCCCAGCACCCAATCGGGGGCCATTTTGTATAGAGAGGCAAAAAGTATGGGCCAGGACTATGCCTGCACTGAGCTGGGAGGGAACTCATCTCTGGCTCAGTGGACTGCAAACAATGTGGCATTCTATAGATTCCACTCAAGATAGGTCCAAGTAGCCCTCAGACTTGATGGCCAGCAGATCAAAAACTCTAGTAGTGGCATGTCAGGTGCTATTTTGTACAATGTGGAAAAAGTTTAAGACTGGAGGGACAACAGAGAGCTGCACATGTGCTTAGCTGGAAGTGAAATTACAGAGCTCAATACATTGCACTGGTCCCATAGGGAAAATAATACCAACTTTGGCATTGCACTGGTCAAAATAGGTCTCTGTGGCCCTCAGACCTAATGGCCAGCAGGTTCTGGCAAGCATCACCAACAACCTGGTTATTTAGGACACCTGGTGTCTCCCTAATCCTGAGGACTGCTCAAACCGGAAGTGGGAGAAAAGTTGTATAGAACATATATATAAATATATGTGTGTGTGTGTGTGTGTGTGTGTGTGTGTGTGTGTGTGTGTGTGTAAAATAAAAGGCAAATGCCCATGTGACAGCTTGGGACTCCACGCCAGGTCAGGTTCCACATTTAAAGGACCCTCCCCACACTGCCCCCTTCAGCCAGGGCCTGTTCTATGAAAACTGTTTGGACTCCTCTTTTCCCTCAGCTGGGGATTTGGGGCCAGAACATCTCTCTCAGAACAAGTCAAAATTATACCCAGTTTAATGCAGAAAAAAAAAATGATGCTAAAAGTAGCAGTTGTTGATAAAACTGATGGTGGTGGCAAGTGACTCAGAAAGAACAAGAGAAACTTGATGTCTGCAAATCTTTTATTTATTTATTTATTTACTTATTTATTTTTATTGGAAAGGCAGATACACAGAGAGAGGAAGAGAGACAGAGAGGAAGATCCTGTGTCTGATGGTTCACTCCCAAAGCAGCTGCAATGGCCAAAGCTGAGCCAATCTGAAACCAGGAGCCAGGAGCCAGGAGCTTCTTCCAGGTCTCCCACGTGGGTACAGGGTCCCAAAGCTTTGGACCATCCTTGATTGGTTTCTCAGGCCACAAACAGGGTGCTGGATGGGAAGTTGAGCTGCCGGGATTAGAACCGGCGCCTATATAGGATCCCAGCACATTCAAGGTGAGGACTTAGCCTCTAGGCTATCGCACCAGGCCCAATGTCTACAAATCTTGATGAAGCAAGAAAGAATTCTTTAATGTAGTTCTGAATAGGGGCACTACAGAGGAGAAGTGATATCATATAGACACAGATGCCACACCCCTCACCTTGACTTTCAGAAACGCTGGAGCCCTTCATGTCTTCCTGACTTCCTATCCGTACATATAAGTTTACATGTGTTAGTACATCCTAATATCCGTTCACTGGACACACACTTCTAGAACTCAAGATATCTGTAAAATATACATTTAAAATACTTGAATACCGCTTAGCTGGAGACAGAATAGTGAGCCGGACTAAGCCCCTAGCCTTGTGTTTTCCAGGTGTGTTGAGGAGAGACGAGTATAAAACAAACAGAGAAAAAGCTCTGTAACGATAGTTGCTAATACTGTAACCAGGGTAAGGGGATAGAAAACAAAAATGGGAGAGACACGAGCTGTGGTCGATGAGGAGGTCACCATGCTCCAATTGTTGTCAGATACACAAAAACAAGCAAGTCACAATCCCAGGCAACACCTACACAGTTACTCTATCACATCGGTACGCATTAAATATAAAATGCTCTTGCTTGCTATGCATAATCACTTGGGGTTAAAAGTGGATACAAAGCCATGCATGCAATTTGTTCTTAGTATAAATGGTGGAGAAAATATCTCGGTGGTGCTTTCTACTTAGTGTTTATCTAATGATGAGCTTTGCACGATTCCTGGGGATGTGGGGTACGTGTCCCATTGTAGCATGTTCCTTCTCTTCCAAAAGACAAGGGGGCACAGGAAGGTAAGTGGATGACAAGTAATGCTCGTTTCCAATTGAGAAATTTCCCAAGGTTTCTGCAAAACCTCTTCTAAGAAAAAGTTTAAAATTAGCCGCAAAGGGAAGCCACCCACCTGCACACCATAGGCAGTCCTTGCTGCTGCAGAACTGACTACGTGTGCTGAGGACCTGGAGGGGTGATTTCAGAGAAGGCCCATTCCCAAATGTTTCAAAAGGGAGACCCTCAGGGGAGATGTTGCTCAGGGCAATAACCAAGGGCCTCTGAGCAAAGGAGCACAGCTAGTGAAAGGATGGGCAGGCTTGATGGGGGTGGAAATGACCAGCTGGAGGGTGAGGACCTGAGACATGAGGAGACAGTCACTTTCGGTAGAACAGCCTGAAAATGGCTTGATGGTTGGGGGCAGGCACCTGGCATGAGTGATCCTTGGCTTGGATCCTTGGCTTGGGCGGAGGTCATGGTAGGACAAGTACCTTCTGCACCTTCCTGCCAACATGGGGCACCTTATGCAGGAAGCATTATGGCAGGGGATCCCAAGAGAGCAGTGTGTCCCCAATCCACCACAGGCAAAGACAGACACATGAGTATTAAGCTGCAGTTTGATAGAAGGAAATTCTGCTGCTTTCACAGAAGACAGATCACAGATAGCAATGACATCCCATACAGAATTTTCTTAAGCAAGAAGAGAATTTTAAATGATTTCACCATATAGAGTTGGTAAATATTGGAGGTGATAGATATGCTCACCCTAATTTTTTTTAATTTTTATTTTTGAAATTCATCATAAAATTCTGTATAGTCTGAGAATCGCCTCTCCCCAGTTTCCACATTCCCTCCCTGATTGATTTTTTCCCATAATGCCACAACTCTTCATAAGGAGGTCCAATCCCATCAGTCTGCTTTTTAACTTTGACACTGTCTGTACCAGCAGTGTCAGGGCACACTAAAAAAGTTCACCCTGATTTGAACATTATACAATGCATACACACATCAAGACATCACATGGTACTCTACAAATACATACAATTTTTATGTGTCATATTAAAAAATTAAAAAAAATTTTCTCCCCAACCAACTGCTGCCCCACACACCTCCAGACACCAACAAAATTTAAGTTGACCTGACCCCTACAGGAAAGGGTAACGCAAAACTCTCAAGGCTCAAACCTCCACGGCTCCTTGTTTAGCTAGCCACTGCCTGAGCTCCAAAGCAACTAGGCCACAAAACCTTCCTTCACCAACTCGGTAGTTCTCACATGTATCCAATGAGATATCAAATGGGACTATTTATTTTTCCTGTTGTCTTACTTGCCGTTTGTCTCCCTTCCATCCTGTTCTGCTTCCCCCCTCCTTCCTTCTTGGCTTCCTTCTTTTGCCCAAGACTACATGTACTTCCTTTGGAATCCTCCCTCCACCGTCATATGCTTATAATTTTGGTGAATAAAAGAATGAGCTTGCCTGGACTATTGACAGCTCCGGCTTTTTCTCATAGTCCTTCGTCCCAGTTCTCTCCAGCCTGCTTGCGTAATCCCGTAACCTTGGAGGAAGAGTGCTTAAAGCCCATTCAGTGGACAACTCTAATTTTGCAGATAACAAAATGAGGCTGATGGAGTAAAGTATTTTTAATTCTTAGAAACACCCAGAATTTTTTTTTTCCATCTTGGGAAAGTAACTATTGCATAGAGACAGAATGAAAAGCTTTTTAAGAGGTGAGATTCTCAGAAAAGCAAGCTGTAATTTTTTGTCTTTTCTATGCCTTGCATAGCCAAAAGACGCTTGCTTTTAAGGTAAGAGCGAATTAATAGCATTAGTGACTATTTAGAGGAAAAAATGAATGGGATCTCTTTGAAAGATATATATATATATATATATATATATATATATATATATTCAGAGCTGTTACTTCTCAGTTTCATGTTAAAATACACTTGTTCACTGTGTTTCTCAGGACTGTGACATAAAATCCATAAAAACACCAACATTTCATCCATGCATTCAAATTCTTCAGGCTGCACACAGGCACCATTTCCTCAGCTCTCTCCACCTGTAGAATTATCTGAATTTTGGCCTTTTCTCTCCAAAACTAGGGACATTCTTCTCCAATAGTATTTGTCAGGTCTCTAGATGCCTCTTCCTGTTGGGTTTTTCTCTGGTTCCATTATCACATCTCCAAGCCACACATTGACAAGATCCTAGCTATTAGGGAAGGGAACATGGGCAACAAATGAGCAAAATAGATTACTATGTGAGGCGTTAGAAACTCGGAGTTCCAGTCTTTATTCTTTAGCTAACTAGCTTGGTGATGTTAAAACTGACCATTTTCATTTCATCCATGCGATGGGTATTTTGGCACCTAACCCTCACCAAAACCAATTAAATACTTAGTGATTCCTTGACTCAGTTTCTCTCTCTTGTTATGGTCATGTGTTACCAGTCTTTATTTTGGAAATTTTGCCTTCCAGATATATTCATACGTTATTTGTTAGCACAGCACTCTGCCCAGCACCTAACCCTCTTCATACCCTACCAGAATGCTCAACAGCCATTAACCCGCATTTATTATGAACCAACTGGGATGCAGACTGGGATTCAGGCATAAACTGGACAAAGACTCACAATCCCTGTGAGTGAAGGCTAGCCTAGAATGATCTTTTCACATTTGTGAAGAACTGCAACGTGAAGTATCTTGGCTCCCCAACACCTGCCATATCTTTCCAGACTAAACTCAAGAACAATTTTTTTACCCTCCAGCAAATTTGTTATTGAGTTAGCTGTACCTCAGTTTTCAAATCCAAACTGAATCTTGATTGAAAATGATTCTTCTAAATCAGAAATAAAAGTACCTAAGGGATCGTAATTCACTTCACTTCCAATAGGTGCTTCCTGGACATCCATAGCCAAGCTAGATCTTCACACAAAGCCTGCAATGCCTCCATGTGACTTCTCACCTGAAAGATACCAGGTAAGATTTAGGCTTTTACGAAACCCAAGGAGGTCATTCTCCATGCAGCATCTCAGTTGTTCCACCAAGAAAGACCCACACATGTCCTTGCTATTAACTAAACTATCCCATCTCAGCCATTCTAGCGTCCAAACACCCGGGAGCATCAGAAACACTGCTACTCCATTTAAGTCTGATATATGAATTGGTGTGCATGGGTGTGAGACAAAGACAAACAGTACCTGATAGAGAATATATAGGACAACACAGGTATGCAGGTAGACATATGCATGTCACAAATGTGAAGGAACATGCTGCTTTAAAAAAGCATTGCTCCCATGTTGGCTAAATGATGCAACAATGCATAATCTGAAGGGTCAGAGTCTGCCACCAGAAGCTATAAAATTATCTTTTGTTTTCACACTTATATAGATTGGGCAGGCTCTCTCTCCCTCCCTCCCTCCCTCTTCTTTTCCCTCTCCCCCTCTCCCTCCTTCACTCCCTCTCACTCCTCTTCTCCCTTCCTCCTTCTCCCTCCCTCTATGTCCTTATCAAATAAATTGAAATACAAATGCTATGGCAATGAAAATGATACTGATTGGAACATTCACTTTCAAAGTCCATTTTTCCCATAATCGAGATCAACTCAAAGCCAATACTTTCTATTGAGAAGTAAAAATCCAGTTTCTTTATATTCAACCCAGGAACAGGTTAAAAGGCTGCAATACCTCCTTCCTTAGCAAAAAGGGTCGTCGTTTCCTGCCAGGTGGCCATTGTGTACCTTCTGTTGTGTCATAGCCCGCTTTCCAGCTCACCTGAGAGATCCAGCAGTAGGATATGGACTGCTGTTGATCCTGTAAGGAAAATGGGGAGAAGGAAATGAGATTCTCATCTCGTCTCTCTGCAGTCCCTTCCCTACAACCGTGTTCTGGAGATCCACAAGCAACACCTCTCTCCTGTGGGGACGGCGTATTTCCAGAAGCCCTTGCTGCTCCATCAAGGGCACATGGAGTGGCTATTTGATGTTGAGGGAAACAGATACCTTGACTTCTTTTCTGGAATTGTCACTGTCAGTGTTGGTCACTGCCATCCGTGAGTATCCTTAAAATCCAAGGATCTTCATCCTGCACATATGGGAATCCATCATGTTAGTGAATTACAACCCTTTCTTTGCCTCCTGTCATTAAAAATTTCAAACAAGGAAAGCTTTGGACCTAGTACATAAGAAACTGATTGGGATGCCTTCATCCCACAGTGGAGTAGCTCAGTTTGATATCCCGTTTCAGCTCCTGACTCCAACTTCCTCCTGACACCAATGGCTTGAGAAATTGGGTTTCTGTGGCTTGTATAGGATACCTAGATTGAATTGCTGGCTGCTAGTTTGGGCGAGGCCCAGCCCTGGCCAGCCTAGGCATTTGAGAAGTGACTGGGGATATAAAGCAGCTAATGGGAGGTCTCTTCCTCATTGTCTCTCTATCTGCCACTTCTTTTAGTGAATCCATTAATTTAAAAAATACATCTATTAAAGATTGTGACTGGCAGATTTCCACATACTTTCCACACCCTTTCTTGGATAAAAAATTTTACAGTGCTTTTTCCATTTCTAAGTTTTGACAAGATCGTATCATTCTTGAGGTACATGCAAATATGAAACTAGCATGAGATTAGGGTGTTTCTGTGTGTGTTTATGACTAAGATAAATGTTCCAAACAAAGAATGTACTGAAGGAAAGACTCTCAAAGAAGTGTCTGTACAGATGTGTATGGAAAGGAATGACAAGAGATGGGAAATAACATCTGGCTTGAAAATGTTCTTCATAGACATCAAAATGGATGAGGGAAGCCATGATGATAAAAGACAAATATAACCCTCACTAGAAATTTACTTGTCAGTGCATTGACCAATGAATCTCCTTTTTTCTCCCTTAGTATTTCTCATCATGTACTCACCTCATCTTCCCACCTGTGCTCATTGAGTTACTACACTTTCAGCAAGCTTACCCAATTCTTGGTCCCTCACCAAGATGCAGTAATTTTAACAATGCCTATCTAGATGCCCCATCTTTTCCACTGCCAATAGGACACCTCCCATCCTGTGATAGTCCAGCCCCCACTCAAACTCAACATTTCCAAGACTGAATCCATCATCTCCACAAAGCTGTTTCTATGAAGATACTGAATCATGGAGCACATGGAAACCACCTACCCTGGAAGAGGCCTCTGTAGAAGAGCAGAACTAGATAGCTAGCTGCTTTTTCTAGAGTAATCCTGGGATTTCCAGCATTCTAGGCAAGAATTTTAGAGTCCTCAGTGGCTCCTCTCTGCCTTTCATTCCCCATAGCCAATCTAACAGCAAGGTGCAGTTGTCCCTGCACTGAAACATCTATTCCACTAGCCCCTCTCTAATTCCCACCACCACTAACATTCCAGGACTCTTACTCCCACACCTGCATGTCCACTTTGCCCACATACATCACCATAATACTAGTCTTCCCCTTCCATCCCAGGAATTTAGTTGCTTTCAGCTTTTTTTTTTTTTTTTTTTTTTTGCTAAAACAAAGTTTTGCCAAGTATCTCTTTTATTCAAGAATTTACTGAGTCTCCACAATTTTCCAAAGTAAAATTCATGGAGCACCCATTATAGGAGAGGTTCCATGAAAGAACAAATTTGTGAACACTTCCTATCTCCTCTCTAGAAAGAGTTCACTATAGCCTATTTAAAATACTAACAGTCCTGCAGTCAAAAAAAATCTGTTAGATCTGTTATTTTTCAAAACTGTGCAACCTCTGAATTTATTTGTACGCATGTATGAGGCAGATATTAATAACAAACAAAGCTAGTATGAAACAAACTTTGACAATTTGTGTCATTTCAGTCAAGTTCATTTAGCCTGCCTTTGCAACATCTCCCTAGTCAGATCAGACATGTCCATCCACCCTTGGTTCCTACTATCCTTCACTGTGAACATTCTGATCCCGTAAAGTTGACTTGGTCTTTCAAATAATGCAGTTTCACAGATATGAGATGTTCTGCTCTGACAAGTGCTCAGAACCAAATATTTGCCATCTCTTGGGATGGAAAAACAGTTCATCCTGTGTGCATATGCTTAATGAATTCGCAGTTCTTCAGAAAAATAGCATGGGAAGCACACATAGGCTTATATCAGCCATCTGGCTTTTTCCAAACTGCTCTGAGGCTGTTCAATAAGAAAGCAGAGCTAGAAAGCCTAGGCCCAAGCTCCTCCTCCACTAGACCTGCTCTAGAATTGCTGGTTCTCATTGAGTGTGCCTTTGAACCTTTGCTGTGTGAGGAACTCACTGTCATTTAAAGCCACAAATCCCCTTGTCAGACACATCTAGTCCAGGACTTCTGTCTCAGCTGTGGATGAGATCTGCTTCCTGATACTGTGAGAAAAAGCCGTATGTCTGGGTTCTGTGGCCAGCATATGTGTTAAAGGGGCACACCCACTGGCAGTTCGTGTAATTGTTCTCTTGTTTACCCAGGAAGGTAACGGCAGTGGCACAAGCCCAGCTGAGCCGCCTGTGGCACACAAGTATTGTCTTCTTCCACACCCCAATGCATGAGTATGCAGAGAAGCTTTCAGCACGTCTTCCTGAGCCTCTGAAGGTAAGATGCTCCCAGCTCCAAGCGACAGGGGTCTCATGATCCCAGGGAAGCCACCCTGGGAAGCAAGAGAATGAGCAGGGAATTTTAGCCATGCCACAAACACCTGTAACAGTGATTCGATCGCCTTATCTGGAAGCAATCCAGCAGCAGAAAGGAATTCGTAAACAAATCAATTTCTGAGCCTCATCTTTTCTTGATTTTTCTCCTTAACATATCCTGGCAGAAATCACCATCCAGCAACCCCCATCCTCCTGACAGCCTCAAGAGATTGTGGCTTTATCCCAACAGCCCTTCTTCCAACATTATTTGTATTTCTGCTTTTACAAAGAGTGGAACCAACTCTTATAAATGCCATTCATTCAGTTTATTTGATTGAAAAATGTACTTCAATATTTTTGATAAGGGAGATATTCTACATCTAAAAGACTGAACTTTTCAACAGAACTGAGATGTTAACATATTGGCCGAGATTTGCACAGAAGCATTAAATGAATTCATATTTGTGAAGCAATTTGAACAGTAATCAGTGTTTGATTTTTGTTTTAGTTTATACATAAATGCATCTTTTAATTCCATCTATCTACACACCTTTTAAAGTACCATTGTATCATCTGTACCATCTAGATGCTCTGCTTAGCAGAATTATCTAGAACAGATGAAGAAAATTGGAATGGCTGAAGCCTAAATTCAGCCTTTGGTGTTCATGGGTCATCAATCCAGAGGACCCAGTTCTCTTCAGTTTTCTCTGTTCCTCTGCCCAAGCCTAGTCTTTATATTTTTCCTTGATTGATTGATTTTTCAGGACGACACTATTGGCAGGGCCAGGAAGCCTGCCTCATCACAAGTCTGCAGGATTAGGTAGGGTGAGGTAGGTGCAGAAGCAAAGAGCCTCGGTCTTCAGGTCAAGCTGATCACTTACCCACTTTATGATGTTCAACTAATTTCACCATCTGAACATTTTGCAAATTAGCAAATAAAGCCAGTGCTTGGCAACTGAGACAGCATCTTCATCACTTTTTTTTCATACTTGAACTTGGCCGCTACTCAGTGAAGGACTGTGGAATTAACAGTTAAATGACAGCACTGCTAAATAACCCAAACTTCTCCAAAGAGCTTTCTCCTCAATCTTGACAGACAGGAGAATAGTCATTGTTAATTTTAAATGACCTGAATAATAAGGAACTCCACTGAAGCGCAGGGCCATGTGTCTTTTTCCTCCAGGTCATCTTCTTGGTGAACAGTGGTTCTGAAGCCAACGAGCTGGCCATGTTGATGGCCAGAGCACACACGCAAAACACAGATATCATTACTTTCAGGTAATATTACACTGGAATATCCACCTTCGGTAACTTTGACTAATCCCATACCAAATGTGTCTTTAAATGACAGCACAAAGGAAGAGAATTATTTCCCCTGGACATTTTTCTAAGCTTTATTTTGAAAGCAGTTAAATGAACGTGATGGCTGGATAACACCATCAACATTGGTGTGGGTCACAGGAAGCCTGGAGCTCTTATAAGGCCATAGATTCATCCAAGGAATGAAAGATGAGGGCTATAGGGCAGTCTTTTAATTATGTGTGGACTGCAACATAGACCAACTGATAAATGAATGCCTTATTCCCATAGAGGCTCAAAGCTCTATACTGCACCCATGCTAATTTCTGTAATAGAAAGTCATATACTTGTTTCATTGTGCCAGTTGCCTATGTTTTTCACCTTTTATTTTAGGTTCCTAGGTTGCATTATCTAACCCTGTATGTGTCTTCTCTGACATGTGAGAAGCAGTGATTTCATGTTACAATTGACCCTCACCATCCATGGATTCCATACCCTTTAGTTCATATTCAACCAGTCAATTGTCAATCAGATACATTCGGGGGGGGGGGGGGGGAAGTGCATCTGCCCTAAATATGTTCTTTTTAATCAAATCAATAAGGAATAAAGAATTGATAGATGCTTTACCTAGTTAGCATTCCACAATAGATATACCTGGGTAAGCACTGACCTATTTAAATCAGCAATGATGCTTGCTGTGGTTTGATCTTGTGGGGCTCCTGAACTCATGCAGTACTTTAACTCTCAGAATCATAAGTTAAAAATACTAGCTTAATCCAGTTGTGGTATTAAGAAGGTGAGTCTGGTAGAAAGTCCTTGAATCACTGAGTGCATGCCCTCAGCAAGCATTCCCAGAAAGGCTGGCTTCACAGCTGTGTTGGGTCCAGTCACTCTCTCTGCTCTTGGCCACTCTCTCCTTGCTTGCCATTCCCATTTGCTGCCCTCATCAGAGGACAAACCAATGGAATTATCAAAGTTGGACTTGAACCTCCAGAGCTATGAGTCAAAAGAAGCCTTTCAACTTACTAAGTATATAATGACAAAAGAACTAATAGTGTACTACCGAGATTCCACATGTGTGGATTTTTATATTATCACTCTTTTCCACAGTCTTAATAATCCTATATCCTAACTTATAAGTGATTTTTATCTGAGAAATTTCCAAAATTCATTGACCAGAAACAGATAAATTTATACTAAATATTACTACACATGTTCCAAAGAAACAAAACCTATATTTGTTAAGGGATAAGTAAGGTGACTTTTAGATACTTAAAAGAAATTCCCAAAGATGTTAGAATCATATCACATTCCCAAAGATGTTGAAGTATCACAGGAGCAGATGTTCGGTTTCCCAAGGTAATTACTTGCACCTCTGAAGACCGGCTGTCCTTAAACAATATAACTTCTGGAAGGTTGCTAAAAAACATTTCTCAGGATTTTAGAGTAAGAAGCTGCTAATGTCAGAATTCTTCAGGAGAGGACCTCCAAAATTCCTCTCATAATTTTAAAATGATGATAGAAAAAATGAAGGAGTACATTCCCCTGACATGGAAGAGTTCTTAGAAATCATCAGAGTTGGAGTTTAGCGGTATTCAGTTTCTTCTCCTTAGACTTTGTAGATTTTTTTTTCCTATGTCCTATTCAGTGTTCCATAGGCCAGTGATCAAAGCAAATAGAATTCACCTCAACCTTCTGTCGTTCTCTCTGCAGAGGCGCCTACCACGGATGCAGTCCTTACACACTTGGCTTGACAAATGTAGGCAAATTCAAGACAAAACTGTCCGGCACACTGGGCTGCCAATCAGTGAGTTTTGAGATTTGTCTTGTTTCCATGAAGATTGGTGATGTCAACTAACACAAAGCCTTCATTAGTTAGGGGCTTCCTATGGCTTCATTGACTTGAAGATCATGGGAGGGGGAAAGCTTTGTCAAAAAGACTTTCAGAATGAGTAATAATTAATGACAGAGCTTTTAAGTTAATTTTGTTCTTAAAATCAAGTAATCCAGAAGGCTCTGAGACCCTTGAACATACAAAATTTCTGTGCCAATTATTACAATTCACCTGTTTTCACCTGCTGGACCCACATTTCCAGTATCAGAATCAGTTACTTAATTATTCTGATTTTTTCAATCGCCGTTCTTCATCAAACCTTTAAGCAAGTTGTCTCCAGACTAACACTGAAATCAGTTTCCTTTGTGAAGAGCCCACATAACTTATTTCTAAAAAAAAAAAAAATCTGTTCAAAGGGAAGGGAGTGAAAAATCACATGAAGAAGTCCTCTTGCCTTGATGATGATAACGTGATTTCTCCAGTTGGATGGCTTCTCGCTTGTGTTGTGCTAAGCTCTCTCTTTTGCCAATTGCAGACAATGTGCCCAGATGTTTTCCAAGGCCCTTGGGGAGGAAGCCACTGTCGAGATTCTCCAGTGCAGACAATTAGGAAATGCAGCTGTGCACCAGGTCCAAATGGGTATGGGGTAAGAGGGAGAACCGATAGAGTGAAAGGTCAAAAGGGTTAAGGAACTGGAGAATGGCAGGACCACCCCTGAGTGGACAATCACATTTGGATAATTGGGAAAGAAGCAAAGCTAGAAAGTAACAAACAACCCCTCACTGAATGAGCACTTTGGGTGCCTACCTTTATTTTGCCCTCAAAGCATCTACCTAAAGCCATCTCATGCTCTCAGAGCTAAGCTCAAACATAACCAACTTTCATTTGAGAATGCTCTGCTGACTCTATTAGCAATATCCCTGGTATCAATTTTAAAGAAAATTGATATCCCTGGTATCAATTTTAAAGAAAGCCAATGCAGATGCAATCATGTACCAATTCCCAGTGGGAGATGGGAGGAGAAGAGTTCTTTGAAGAATCTCAGAAGTCCAATCAAGAAACTCTCCAGGGACTTCGAATGCTAGCCAAAATGAGAGCATCTATCAAAACACATGGCTATTCCTGAAGGCTGCTGACATCTCTTGCAACACTTCTAATAGGCATTCTCACAAAGAGGACTTTTCTTCATCGAGCAAAGATTTATTTGCATTCTTTACCTATGCCTAACACAAGGGAGAGGTTGCATGGAAACATTGTGTGTTCTTGGCTGGTCCGGAAGTCCTACTTCTGATTTGTCATTACAGTACAAGACCTTTTGAAGAGCTGTTCCTAAGTAGTTCTGGAGAAAAGGCCGAGATGCTCTGGCGGAAACATCTCCAGTGAAAGAGTGTGAGTCACAGGATCGAGAGGGAGAATGCAAAATGAAAGTCTGAAAAATTCAGCCTTGAAAGGAAGAAGTTTATCTTAGCATTCTGATGGGATAATGGAGGCAGGAAGATGAAAGGATAAGTGTTCACATAAGACAAGATGTCCAAGTCACAGAGTTTTAAACCGGAAGGAAGTGAAAGCTCCTTTTAGAATCTACTATGCTAAGATCAAGGAAACCCAGGTTCACACAGAGGCGACAGTGAAGCTGGGATATGAACACAGTTTTCAAATCTTAAAGCCAGGGCAACCGCTACCTCATCCACACTGGTGTGAACCCCAGGAAGAGCCGAAACTGACAAAGCATTCCTGTTCTTCTGCCCAAGATGGCAGGATGCATGAAGTCAAGTGGACCTGGGGTGGCTCCACTGCCTGCCTTCAGTTTTCTCAGTCTGGAAATAGACAGCAAGGCTCATCCCCAGCCAAGCACAGCATTTCATGAGATCCAGACCTGGACAGTCTCGTAAGGAAGAAATCAGGAGCAAGCGAAGCTATACATACATGTCTATAACATGTGGACGGCGTCGAGAACTAAACTCAGTTCAAGGCACCTCACAGCACTCAGTCTGCAAAATCACCAACCCGGAATATAGCTGTTCATCTGTTTCCCTTCCTACTTCCATCTCCTGCACTCTCCCCTCACTTTCTGCTTCCTCTGACCTTGAGACCTCCTCCTTTTCCTTTGGCCAAACTGAAAATGCAAGAATCCTGTGGCCCTCTCTCTCTCTAGTGGCAGACCATTCTACATGTCTGAGCTGTTAGTGGTGGTGTATTTGAAGGCAGCTGTTTTCTTAACTCAGATCTAGAGTTAAGACAGGCTAGCATCAGTCTCTTAGCAGGATTGGAATACAAAAGGGAACCGCAGCCTCCTGGGAGACATTAGGCCTGGAGAAGTGTTTGGTCTTTGTTATAAAGCTAGGGAGTTCATAGTTGTTTACAGAGGCACTGAAACATGTCGAACACTTTGAGTGCAGCTGGTTCCAGTTTTCAGTTCCTCTTTGTGCTGGGTACACACAGTTACCAAGCCTAGCAGGGATCCTGGTCATTTCAAAATTCTGCCAGCACTCTCAGTGCAGTCGGGAGCCTGTTTTATGAGCTTAATAGAAATGGTTTATAGAGTACCCTTCATTTAGACTCCTCACGACTGTTTAACTCCAGTGTCTGACTTTTAGATGCAACCTGTGATGCCATTCATGTCCTACCACTCACTGCCCCTGCCATGTCCCAAACCGTACTGATGTGACTTTTCATTTAAAATTTTACAAAAAAAAAAAAAAAAAGCTGTTTTTTCTTGGATCTTTGCTCTGTTTAACCTTTTCTGTACCAAAGCAAAGATAAACTCTCCTCTGGCCACTCAACTACGCAGCAGAAGAGCAGCTCCACCCCCTTGATGTTGTCATGGAGACATCAGCGCACCAAGTCTCTTTGTCCCTGAGGTAGCATGACCTGCAGTTACAGCCGTGAGCCACTGAAGCAAGTGTAAAATTGAGTGGAAAGAGGAACACAGTGGATGACCTTTCTCCTTACTGAGTGTGTGGGAAGATGAGGGAAAACATTAGGAAACGTCTAGCACAGCTCCAAGCAAAACCTCTTCTTGGTTTGATTGCGTCCAAATGTAAGCCATTAGGGCTGATTTTGATGTTGTCTTCTGTTCCTCTAGTTGCAAATGGGCTTGCTCTATTTCCAAAATGTGTATTTTGAATGTATGTCTGGTCCATCATTTAGGGCTTTCTGAGATGATTTTCTCTTCATTTCTTCCTGCAAATAGGGCATCCCAATCTCTACAGGCATAGATTTATTTACTTAGCATCTTCTTCTGGTCAAAAAAGCGTAGTCTCCAAAAACAGTACTCTCAGGGTTAGATATCCTTGTCAGTACTTGTTTTCTTACACGCTGATCTCCAACCTCCAACTAATCAATGACATCAGTCATAACTGCTGATGGGCTTTCCCAAATCTGACATGTAGTTTTAAAAGATTTGTCCTAACGCATGTGTTGGGATGGGAAGTGTGGGCTCCCTTCTCAGATGTTTCCATCCCATCCCATGGTCCCCTGCAGGCCTTCTTCTCTCTGTGGAGACAGTTTGGAGTTCAGAGACTAAGTGACTATTCCAGGCTTGGATAAAGTTCCTGAGGGCATGTCATCTGTGGCTGCAGGCGGTTTGGGATCTCTGGTCACAAAAACAGGAGGCTTCCTCTCTCTTGTCTTTGCTGGCTTCTTCAATGACAACTGCAGAAGGCGGCCTGAAGCCCTTAAGTCAGCTTTCTGGGTCATCTCCCTCACTGCCTCCAGATCCTGTCCCACCCACAGGATATTACGCCTGCCTGGCTGGTGAGCCGCCCTCACCACCAGCAGAGTATTTCTAGCAACTTTCAACAGAGTGGAAAAATAAACAAGGTGACTACCGAAGCCCTTGGGCTGGATGGATGTCCTTCCTAAGAATACGACAGCCTGAGTTATCTGCAGCTGAGAGCAACTGGGAATCCTGGGTAAAATCCAAACTATGTCCTTTGTGAAAACCTAATACAAGAAAATAAGAATTCTCAGAAGCCCAAAGAAGTCGTTAGAGCACCAAAGTTAGCTCTTGCCCTAAGGACAATAACCAAAACTGATCTTGAACTTCAGTTTGTGTGACCCCTGTGGAGTGCAAGGAGATGACAAAGTCCATGATCCAACAAAAGTAAAGGACATAGTGGGAAAGTCTTTCCCAATACAAAGCTGGAGCTGCCATCTATGCGTTAATTACAAAGAACCATAAGCAACTCATCCCACACGAGGATTCTGGTGTTGCGTGGAGGAAGGAGGGAACTGACTCAGCAAAACTGCTGGAAATCTGAACTTCAGGCTGGCTGTCAGGAGGCTTTGTGATCTTAACAATCACTACCTCTAGTTGTGATTTAGAGCAATCTGCCTGCAAGATCCCTGTGCGCCCAGATGTTGCAAAAGCTGACATGTTGCGGTGGAACTGCTGCCTTCTCGCCCTCAAAGAATTCTCACGAATGTAATCCAAGGAAAATATACTGTCTGTGCTCAAAATCTCTAACATGCAAGGAAATGAAATGAAACTTTGCAGCCAAAAAGAAACCCATAAAGATGTCACTTGCCAGGTTGTGAAATGAACACTGCTTAACTCTTTCAGAATCATCAGACTATAGAATAAAATAATTAGGACTGTGAAATGATACAATAAGCATGTCTCTCCTGTTTACAGAAAATCAAATGTGAACTTGAAAGCGTGTACGGGAGACAAAGAACCGTAAGAAATTCTTCACTGGAATTTGAAATTCAGCAGAATGGTTCCTCAGCAACTAATCCAGTTTAAAAGAGAATGTACGGATTTCTACAAATCATTCGAACAGTGACACTTCACTCTTTCTGTAGATAAGGGATTGTCAAGTGGAATTGCTCAATGTCTCATACTAGCCACAACTTCTGCCACTTATTTCCCTCTTGATTCATTAGACACCACAAATGTACCAGCCAACATGCTTGGCTGTGGGCTAGATTCCAAAGACAAGACACAGTCCCATCCAACAAAACCCCTCACATAACACAAGAAATGTCTGTGAACGGGAAGTAGCAGAGCGAGTGCCAAGGGCTTCACGGATGAACTTCACCACCTCCAGCATGTTAGATTGGGCCCTCAGTGTTCTCCAGACACACAGGAGTCTACACAAAGTTCATGGAAAACGCATAGGATGAAAAAAAAAAAAAAAAAAACTAGGCAGGTATTTCCAAAGGCTTTGGGCTGTATCTCTTGTTTTGTTTGCACCACTATGAACTTATCTTTTAAGTTCAGTTTCCATGAACCTTTTAAAGTACCTTCATGTTTACTGACTGTTACGATAGAGATACTCTGTTCTTGGAAAGGGCTCATCAGCATGAGTGGCATGCCAAAGTAAGTAGAGTTATTTTCAAATATATTCAACTGTCCCAATTGCACTTGAGTTAGATCCACCTGTTTGAAAGGATGGCCCTCCCCAGGTGAACCAGCTATGTCTGCCAGACTCAGTGACGCTTTAGGGCATTTCTTTCCCAAATGGAAATTATTGAAGTGCTTTGTTCATAGCTCAATGTCTATCCTCATCTTTCTCCTTGAACCAAGTATAAGTCGTTCCAACAGCATATCCCCTCTTCATCCACCACCTCCTTCTTCACTAGGTTCTACCCACGTGACTGTCCTTGACTTTTTTCTCTATATTTTTCTCTTTTATTCTGGATGCCATTCTCATATCCTCAAATGCTGTGAGATATGTTTATGTGTTTGTTTCTTTTCAGACTGCTGTGAAGCTAAAGACCAGTATATTGAACAGTTCAAAGATACCCTGAACACTTCTGTAGCCAAGTCCATTGCTGGATTTTTTGCTGAACCAATTCAAGTGGGCATATGAACCTTGGATTTTTTCATTGAGCTGAATTTTCAGTTGTTAAGAATTTTCGTTCATGTATTTTAGAGAATTCCAAATTAATTAAGTACCCATTGCTGTGTCCTGCTGCAGATTCCAGTCTTTCTGTCAAACCCTTTGAAAATACAAAATGCTGCTTTTCGATTGACTTTCACAAAACCATCTCCTCCAATTCCACAATGACTGGACAGATGAAACTAGTTAATTCCTAAGATTCTCAAGAAAAAAGGAGCTCCTGGCAGGGTTATTGCTTTTAACAGCCACATTGTGGTGAACGCCTGTCTTCAACCTCACCAAGTGCCCTCATTCTACTTTTTTGTTATCTCAGAAAAAATTTCTTATTTGAATGATTTTTCCAGAAGGGTTGGTTTAAGAGCAACAGCTCCTGTTTTCACTTGTGGTTGAAATAAATAGTTCTACAGGTTGTGTTAAAAATTAATGTGATAATGATCTGTCTTCTTTTAAATACTCTGAAGGAGCTTGGGCTATTGTAACAGGTGTTTTCTGGCTGTGGTCTTTTGCAGGGTGTCAATGGAGTTGTCCAGTATCCAAAGGGGTTTCTAAAGGAAGCCTTCCAGCTGGTGCGAGAGAAGGGAGGAGTGTGCATTGCAGATGAAGTGAGTACCAAGGAAAGGTGCAAGTTAGAGCAGTGGAAATTGAAAAAAAAAAAAAGCAAACACTTTGGGCACAGAGCATGGATAACATGGATCACCAAGGATGGTTACAGACAAATGAACTTTCATTAGTGGGGCTGGTTGGTTTGTTAGAAGATTAACTAGTGAGTTTAACAATCACAGCAGATCTTAAACATCCAAACTGAGCTCTGCCGTTTATTTATTTTTACTGGTTTTAAGAGGAGAATGAGATCTGTCTTTAGAGTCACTCACTAAAAAAAGCCTACCATAGCTGGAACTAGGTCAGGCCAAACCCAGGCGCCAGGAATTCAATTTGAATCTCACAAATGGATGGCAGGGACCCAATTACTTGATCTGTCACCCACTGTCTCCCAGTGTGAACATTAGCAGGAAGTTGGATAGGAATCAGAACCCAGACACTGTGGTATGATGGGGTGCAGGCATCCTAACCAGTATCTTAACCAGCTTGTTAACAGCCATAGGTATTACTGCCATTACTCCACAAACTTTTAAAGATTTATTCACTTTTATTGGAAAAGTAGATCTACAGAGAGAAGGATACAAAGATCTTCCATCTGCTGGTTCACTCCCCTAGTGGCCCCAGTGGCTGGAGCTGAGCCAATCCAAAGCCAGGAGGCAAGAGTCTCCCCAAGGTCTTCCACATGGGTACAGGGTCCCAAAATTTTGATCCATCCTCTGCTGCCCTCCCAGGTCACAAGCAGGGAGTTGGATGGGAAGTGGAGCAGCCAGTACATGAACTGGCACTCACATGGGATCCCAGTGCCTAAAGGAAGGGAATTAGCTAATTGAGTCAATGCACTAGGCCCATACTCCATGAACTTTTAAATTTTCTTATGGGGAACTGCTTCAGGAGCAGCTGACAGAAAAGTCATGCTTAATTGCTTGTCTGAGCTTTCATCTTAATTTTTAAAGGTTAACATTGACCAATTTTGCAACATGTATGTTTGTTGTGGCAAAGTTAGCGTGAAAATGACGTTTTTCAATATAAGTCAACAGCAACCCAGCCTCTACATCAGAGTAATGTAGACAGTGTAGACATTTGAAAAAGTGTTCCCCCAAATCTGTAAATTAGCTTGAGTGAAAACTAAGTATGGTTGGAATAGGCACGCAATACCTCCAATATGACTCATATGGCAGGAATAAACCTCACTGGCTGTGCGAGCTGTACCCTATGGGCATCCAAACAGGAATAAGTTACTTATAATTACACTTCATGTTACGGTGTGTCAAAGAAAGCACTGTTTTGTCTGCTACTAAGACTAGCCATGGAGACCAGGAGACTAAAGGATGACAACAGAGCCACTTTCCTCAACTTAAAATCCAGTGCAGCTGCTGTTGGTGCAGCACACCAAAATAATTTTCTTTTTAATACTGAGAATTAAGGAATTGAAGAGGTTAGGGTGTAGAGAACTTTGTTTAACCTCTACCTGCCTACTATGCTTTCCTGGCCACACTCTCCAGCTCACTTATGTTCACCTTCCAGTTTTCTGCCTCTAGTTACTGTCCACTGCTTTGCGCATTGCCATTAACTGAAAAGGGGGACAAAAGAACTTTGTTCCACGTGTTTCTTTGGACGTCACTATCATGGGGAGACCCCCATGTACAAAGAATTGAATAGCACTTGTATGCCTTTCTCTTGGTCATCAGCTTTGTATTAATTTGCTTCCTAGCTCCACCTAAGATGAAGGGACAGGGCAGACGGGACTGCTCCCTCCTCTTGGACAGATATTTTGGAGTGCTTTTTGTGAACAGATATTTTGCGGTGTTTTTCATGATCAGCTTCAGGTGCACTGAGCTTCGCTGGAATACTGGGCATTGCTGTCACAGCCTCTTCCAGCCATGATCCCCCTCCCATTGCCCTAACCTGCCATAAACAGTGAAGTTCTAGCTGAAGCAAGTTAATCTTCCATTTAAGAGTGTATCCAATCAGTTTCAAATTAACTATATTAAGAAAGAGGATGAACTTTAATCTCAGAATCAGCACATAATAGAGCTTCCAGAGTTGGGCTAATTAGAGAGAAGAGAAGCCGAACTCAAAGAAAACATAAATTTCAGAATTTTCTGAGGTCTTATATTTTACGAATTTCATGAAGTTTTTGGAAACTGTCCAGCACAAGGTAACCTTCAGAAGGACTGTCCTAACAACAAAAACAAGGGAAGCTAGAGCTTTCTGAGTGCTTCCTATGTGTCAGCCACTATTCAGAAAGTTTGCAAGTACTAACTTGTTTAATGCGTAGAACAATCTGTACAGTGTGCCCCACTGTTTCTATTCACACTTTACACGTAAGTGCACTTGGGTCTAAGAAGGTTAAATCCATCTATTGAGGTCCATACAGTTAATAGGGACAGACACAAGGCTCAAACTCAGCTTTCCCAGACTAGGCAGACAGACAGAGACACCGAGGCCCAGAGAGAGATCAGGAGTATTCCCTGGGAAGGCTCTGGAAGAAACTAGCCTGGGAGAGTTGGTGAGTCCCGATCTGTTAGATGTTTCACTTTCACTCACTCTGCCAACACAGTGTCTTCATCAGGCACTCTGCTGGGAGAACTGAGCAGACAAAGGAGCAAGACATGGTCCTTGCCATCACACACAAGGATGGAGGCTCGGTGGTCCTTGCCTCGTGACACCTGTGAGGGTGCATCAAAAAGCTTGTGGAAAATGACAGATATGCTTACCGTGGTTCAAAGATTTGGAATTCTTGCCGAGTTTCCTTTAATATGTGATTTCCATGAGGTTTTGGAGGATGCCCCCATACACTTCTCATAAGGACCCCCATGAGAGATGCTGAAGGCCGCGAGTCCCAGGTGCTTGGAGTGGGAGCCCACTGGCCTTCCGGAAAAGCTACCTAGAACAAGTGAGGAGGCCACAAATGGGAGGAGAGAAGTTAGTGAGAGGAAGCAGGGAGAAGACAGGCAACAGCGTGCACAACAGACTGAGGTTCCCTCTGCCCAGATCACTGACTTTCTGGAGTGGATCATTCATTCCTGAGTTAACTGGCTCAGGCAGGTCTTCCTCACGAGAGGGTTCTGGGAAGAAAGAGGGATCCCTGGGGAGGGCTGGGCCAGCCCCCAGGGAGGCAGGTGTCACAGCCTCCACCCTAAGCCCCTCACCCCACCTGCAGACTGACAGTGATTCCTGCTCCCCTGCCAGGGCCACACCCAGCTTCTCACTTTTCTCCTCCACTGTTGCAGGCTCAGCAGAAGCTTCAGAAAGCTGCTAATTACTGTGGTCACTTTCACCTGCACCTTGAGGCATTAACCGAGGTTCAGAGGAGGGAAAAGGGACACTTTCAGAATCATGCAAAGCTAGTAAATGGCCTTTGAAGCCTGAACAATCAGACATAGATTAAAATAGATAAAATGTTCTGGCTAGGTTAGTACAAGCATGGGAGTGGTGTTGAGGTGGTGATGAGCAAAGAGGAAGAGATGGGAGAAAAAAGGAGAAAGAGTAAATAAGAGCGGGGAGCAATCTCATTTAGTGAAAGGTTCCCGGTGGGTTTGAATGTGTTCCCATCAGGTGCAGACAGGATTTGGAAGACTAGGCTCTCACTTCTGGGGTTTCCAAGCCCAGGATGTGCTGCCTGACATCGTCACCATGGCTAAAGGGATTGGGAACGGCTTTCCCATGGCAGCAGTTGTGACGACTCCAGGTAAGAGCAGCCTGTGCTGCCTTTGGGGCCTCCTCTTTTGGTGGTGGTCTAAAGCATGTGGGTTGGAAATTGGACAGGTTGCAGGCAGTGGCAAGAACTGCACCATGCATTTCCCAAGTGCATCCAAGAATGAAACAGTCGACCTGGCAGGTTATAAAACGCACAAAAGAAATTCAGCCCTTTCTGTGCTTGCTGCGGGAGAGACTGACCCTGTAATGAATTGCAAGCTCTGGCCAGCTGCCCAGGAAGATGGAAATACGCTATCAAACCAACATGAAACCAAGCTGAAAGCTCCAGGCATCGTATTTTTGAAGGAGACTCTCACCTGATCTAGCCACACTAATGAACTGTGGATTTAAAGCCCACAGGATTGGATTTCTCTGTTGATATTAACAAAACACTCCAGTCTCATCTATCCGTAAAATTAACAGTAGAATTATTTTCCATTTTAGTCTAACAGAAAGCAGTTCTTTTACGAACCATTGCCTATTGAAAATCTTAAAACCACTTCATTTGTTTTTTTCCCGTCAACAGTAAGCACACTTCTGAGGTTCCTATACTGACACTGAATCATCTGGCAAATGATGTTGCTAAATCCTTAACGTAAGATTTTTCCTTGATGTTGGTCTCAAGAAGAGAATTCATGAAAGAACACTTAGCTAATTGAAAGTCCCACTTATACTTCCTTAGCTCCAGTTTTCAAGAACTTTCTAACTCATACAATACCTCAAATGTTTTATTATCAAATTTCTCATGGAGCACATGAACCACTCATCCTTATCCACTGTATTAGTCCACACAGGTTGACAAGACAAATATCACAGATGAGGTGGCTTGACCAACAGACATTTAGGTTCACAGAGGACTATAAGCCAAAAGTTCAAGATCAAGTTGCCCTCAAAGTTGGCTCCTAGTGAGACCACTTTTCTTGGCTTGTTCGTGGCATCTTTCTCACTTCTGACTTGAGTGCGTGGGAACTTGCAGGGAGGGTGGGAGAAAGGGATTATGTTCTAGTATTTTCCTTTTCTGGTAAAACTACTAGTCCTGTTGACCAGGGCCCCATCTTTATGCGCTCACGTATCTTTAATTATCTTCTTAAAGGTCCTGTGTCCAGATCCAACCACTTTCAGGATTAGGGCTTCAGTAGATCAAGTTGGAATGAATGCAGTTAAGTCCATAACATCCCCAGCAGGCGGGTGAGGAATGAATTGTCTAGGGTACCATTTACTACATGAATGGAAATGCGACTGCGGTGATATGATGAGACGAGATGGATCCAAGTATGTCATGCTCGAGCCTCCTTCCTTTTGTTTTTGTTTTTGTTTTTTAGAGATTGCCAGGTCTTTGGCTGACAGCCTATTTTACTTCAACACCTTTGGAGGGAGCCCTCTGGCCTGCGCTATTGGATCTGCCGTGCTTGAGGTTTGTATCACAAGTCAAAAGGGCTTCACTCATTTCACAGAACAATTGCAAAACCACAAATCCATTATCAGAGTTCTGATGTATTGCATTATTAAAGATTTAGTAACTAAATTGTCATTTTAAGGTTGATTTCCAGTTATTATTCTGTCTTTTCTCTGTTTTGGAAATCAAATCTACCTTGAATGCTCAAAATATTGGATAAGAAGTAATGTCAGGGTTGGCATTTTGGCTTAATGGTTTAAGATACCAGTTGGAGCAGCCACATCCTGTATAACAGCATATGGGTTTAAGTCACAGCTCTGCTCCCAATTCCAGTTTCTTGGTAATGAGCTCCTGTTCCTGGGGGACAGGAGGTGGTGGGTCAAATGCTTGGATGCTTGTCACCCATGTGAGAGACCTGGCTTAAGTTCCTGGCTTCCTGCTTTAGCCAAGCCCAGCCTACCTGGACCCTTGCAGGCATCTGGGCAGTAAGCCAGTGTATGCAGCATTCTCGTTTATATATTCTGTGGTATCTCTTTACCTCTCAAAATAAGTTGAACATTGAATTTAACATATATAAGTTTAGAATTTGTTAAGTAAAAAGGAAACAATACATAAAAACCACTACATGGAAAATGTAAGAATTCCATTAGCCAACTAGTAGCACTAAAACTTCTTTATTATCTGGGTAATGTTTTATACATAGTTGTTCATTAATATACTTTTTGTTTGTTTGTTTACTTTTGGTCCTGTCTTCTTGGTGTTTGTCTTTATTCCTTTTGTTTTGTTCTCCTTAAGGGAATCTGAGTTCTATGGGATGAGCACCAAGCAGTACTGCTAGGAGGAGCTGTGATAGTTCAGCTCTACTGGACAACAGTCTAAGCCCTCACCTGTTGAAAGAGATTTTTTTAATGTCTGTTAATATGCTCAATATCACTTGCTTAAATAGGGATAAGATGTTGCTGGAAGAATGCCCAAGGAATCTATCCTAAGTTATTTGTGGGGAGGGAAGTTTGATGTCAAACTCCAAGAGTCACCAAGAGCCATTCTCCATCCATACTTTCACACTTTCTGATCTTTAAATCAAGAACATGATTTTTTTTATTCAGAAACTACAGAAGTGCTTTGAAATAAACAAGGAAAAAAAATCTGTTCTCACTAATTAGCTACCTTTAAAATGATTCGAACGTGAAAAAAGAAGGTGTTAGCCAAAAGCTGCCATTTATTTCATTTTTCAGGCCTTGACAACTTTAGGTGCTGTAGCATCTAAACAATTCAGATAGTAGAAAATATTTCAGTGAGCAAATAGGTCTTGAAAACAAGAAAATTCACCTGGAGCCATGTAATTGCTATCAGTTAACAATTGGGGCTTGATAAACATTAGCGTCTGCTGAAAATAGAGCTCAGGTGAAAATTCTTCTCTATCTTTCAGAGCCACCACCCCTGGTGCAGCTAAAGGAGCCGGGGCCCAGTCAAGGTGTGTGAGCTCCAAGGATCTGTGTGTGACTGAGGGCTTCCACATAGTGGCGGGTATTTCTAATGCCCCTTTCCTTGGCACAACTGTCTTGTTTACCATAACATCGCTGCCCTTGGCAAAGCCTGGCATTGTGGTTTTCGGTATAATGGGGCTTATGTAACCAATTGCCTTGAAACATAGCTTTTATTAATTTTTTTCTAAATTCTGGTCCATCCCCAAGGCTGAAAAAGTTATGGAAGAGCTTCCCTTCTACCCAGACATCTCTCCTTACCAAAAGTATGTTTGCAGTGTGTGATGTGGCCACCCTGGACTTTGTTCTGAGTTCTGTTTCTTGAAATTCTTATAAAATAGGTCATGTACGTGTCCTTCTCTGGCCTACTCAGTCAATCCTAGAATATTTGCCTTGAAAGGTCACTTGGAGGGCTTTCTTCCCACAGGTGATTCAGGAAGAAAAACTGCAGGAAAACAGTAATGAAGTTGGCACCTATACCTTACAGAAGTTTGCTCAGCTGCGAGATGAGTTTGACATCGTGGGTGATATTCGAGGCAAAGGTCTCATGATCGGGATGGAAATGGTGCGGGACAAGGTAGGTGCTGACCTGTCACTTTCTCTGTGCTTCCTGGGGTCGGCAAGAGTTCAAGAGACAACCATCAGTGGAAAGCTCACTGCTTTCATGCTCACGGAGAGAGCCCACCCAGACAGCAGGACTCAGCAAAGGCCTTGAGGGATGAGCGGGGAGTATTGAATAGGAATGAAAAGCTAGCCTATCTTTGAGAACTCTAGTGGAGGAAGGAGGAAGGACATTTGGGAAAAGGACCCACTAGGACTCTTGTCAAATTAGGCAAAGAGCATAGGCAATAACTGGGCACAGGTGATCCCCTACCTGCCTTGGTTCGACTTAGCATTTTTTGACTTTACAGGGATATGAAAGCCACACATTTACCTTGAATTTGGGGTTTGGATCTTTGCCCAGTTAGTCATAGGCAGCACAGCCCTCTCCCAACATGCAGCCGTGTGGCAAAGCCCAGCCAGCCCCACCCTGAGGAACAGAAACACGGACTAGAAACGGCTACATCCAAGGGAGGTGATTGTATTCACAGAATAGGAAGGCAGGTGACACACACACACAGAGCACAGGTTCCAGGCAACATTGCCAAGGGCCAAGGCTGTTGGCAGGTCTGCAACACCCCACCCTACTCACCCCAGCAAACCACACCTTAGATGCTCACTCAGGGTCTCATGCTGCTTCTTGGCTGCTAACCCCTGGGAGCAGTCTTAGGAGAGAAACAGAAGAAAATTCCAGGAGCAGAGAAGGCAGGGACACACTGACCGCAGCCCTGTGACAACTTCCCAGGCGTGCGGAGGCCCTGGGGAATCCTGGGCCACACAGGCCCTTGTGCAACCTCCAAGCCACTTCCTGTGCTTCGAGATGATCTTTGTACACAAGCAGAACAGAATGAAGAGCTCAGGGGAGTTGGCACATAAATAAAATGGACTCAGAAAAGTCAGCTATTGAGGAAGCAAAGTCCCAAGATATCCACAGCCAAGATTCACTGTCTCTGTAGCACTTCAGTCGGCCTTTGGGTCTTGGGATAAATTGGGCTAGAAACACACATTTTAAAAGAATACCCTCCAAAAATCTGGTCCTACAATTAACAGCTTTATTCAATTACGGGGCAGGGAAGAGGGTAGCCAGAGAAGGGCACCGGTGACTGGACGGTTCTTGTTGCCTCTGTCTTGGCGATAATGCCTGCAACCATGCTAATGCCGAACAGAAATCATTTTTTAAAATGTGTTCACAGATGAGCCGCCAGCCTCTTCCCATTGAAGAAATAAACCAAATCCATGAAGACTGCAAAAACCTGGGGCTCCTCGTTGGCAGAGGCGGCCTTTTTTCACAGGTAAGAAACCACCTGAGCTCCTTAACCCTAACCCCAGCAGGTACGCTGGGGGACCCGGCTGCACCTCCTAAGGCACAGGCGTCTTCTAAAGAAAGGGCAGTGATGTATTCTGGCCACAAGGCGGCACTGTAGGCACTGGTTTGGTGTCTGCACATCTAGCTGGCTGCCTTACCAGCCATGCAAAAAATAACTCTCCTGCTGTATGCGAGGGCAATACTAGACATTCTTAACAGCTCCTGGCTCCAACCTCGTGATCGTGGTGTGCCACCTAGTAGTTCTGGCTGACCCGGCTCCTTTAGCAGAGCCCCGAGGCAGGGCTCCAGGTCAGCCATTCCCAGCTGTCCTTCCCTCAGTGAGCAGGGCAGAGGCAGAGCTTCTTCCCGCCCCTTCCAGGGTGAGCCTCCCCCTGCCTACTGCAGGGCCTCGGCCTCACCCTGCACTCTGCCCTGTGCGCTGTGCACAGTGGCATGCTGCGGGAAAGTGCCTTGGTCGGTTCCTAAAGGCCTTGCACTTGCAGGCCGCTTAACAGGGATGGCCCAATGGGCAGAGGTGCAAGAGTAAGAACTTCTCACATCACCCCCAATTGATTCATATCCGTTATTCTTGCCGTTTGTGAAACATGCTTAGCCATATAGGAAAGGCGTGTGCGTATGGGGTGCTGCGTAATGATTTGACAGCGTGCACATGGCCTGTGACGTCAGGGTAAGCATTTGATGCTCCTCCAATATCCGTCATCCTTCCAAACATTTTTTTTTCTTTAGCTTTTATAAAATTATAGCCGCCACCCGGTCTGCAGTTAGACACAGGGCAGCAGCAGCAGCAGCACGGAAGGGAATCTGGTCTGTACCTGTTACACAGCATTTCTGGTTATAAATATTTCCCTGTTGCCAGTTTCCTTGCACGCTCTCGCCTCTCACCGTTAGCTGAGTCCTGAGATCCCCCTGAACCCCATTTTCAGAGAAACCAGAGGCTGTGAGGCCGCACTGCTACAGAAACTCCGCACGTATTTTTCTGTGAGAATCAGCACAAAATCATGAGACCTACAAGACGGTTGGCTGCCGGCTTAGCTACCCTTTCGCTACTTGGCAAGCATTTTTTTCTGGTGTTACACGGCAGGTGATACACTGGGGAATGACGTGTCCTGGTTAATCAGAGCTGCTCCCCCCAGCCCCCCGCCCCCCGTTCAGGGAGCAGCTGGGGGAGAAAGACTCATCTACAGACACAATGATACCAAGTAGGGAAACTTCTCCGGGAATGTCCAAATGCGGTGCTGGGGGAGGAGCCGGATCAGCCTTCCTGCTCAGCAGGACCCTAACCAAGCCTACAAGCAGAGCATTCCCCCGCTCACACAATCACGGCAGACGGCAGGCGCCCGTGGGTGCTGTGGTGGGACTGGAGCTTAGGGAAGAGGAAGAGAAGGAAGGCAGCCTTGACCATGGTACCTGGCACTTGTTCCACCTGTAGTCTATGTTGGCCTGTATACTGCGCACAACAAGCTCTAAAAGGAGTACTACCATGAAAGCACCTGTAGCGGGGACAGTAAGATGGGGCAATGCAAAGGCATGTTGGAATGGGTAATTGGGTTGTTTTTTTTCCAGATGGTGGTGTTTTTCAGCTTTTGTGTATATTGTATTTGTGGATGGGCTTATGGTATAGATCAGTTAATAGGGGTGTAAAAGAATCAGAGGAAAGATAGAATGACAGAGGAGGGAGGGGAATAGGAGGCATCGAATAAGGGAGAGAATTGTTTTGCACATATACATTCAATGTGGGAAAAGTTGAATGGCCTTTGCTTTGAGTCTAAGTTTTATTTTAGTTGGAAGTCATCTTGATGCTCACTTGACCTGCTGCATGGGTGGTTTCAGAAGCTTCTTGCTGTCTCCTTCCTGGCCAGACAAGTCACCTGCCATCATATGAAGCTCTTTATTCAAAAAAAGATTTATTTTACTAGAAAGGCAGATTTTTAGGGAAAATGGGAGAGACAGAGAGAGTTCTTCTGTCCATTGGTTCACTCTGCAAATGACCACAATGACCAGAGCTGAGCTGATCCAAATATGAAAGCCAGAACTTTTTCTAGGTCTCCCTTATGGATGCAAGGTTCCAAGACCTCGAGCGATCCTCCACTGCTTTCCAAGACCCTATGCAGAAAGCTGGTTGGGAAGTAGAGTAGCCAGTACTAGCTGGTAGAACATTAGCCAGTTATGACATCATATGGGCCCCCATATATAGCTTTTCCATAGTATATATTGTCCACAAATTTTTGGAAAGCCATTTGCATTATGCCTTATTTTGTATGTGAAGAATAAGAGGCAAAGGTTATATAAATGTGCCACATCACAGTGAGTGCAGAACCCAAATCCTAACACAAGCAGTCTGACTTACAAACCTGAGGAGGATGAACGCAAAGGGGACAGACTGAATTTGGATTATGAAGCCTTACATTTGTCGAAAAGAAGTTGGACCTGCGAGGAAACACCGGGATGTTTTCTGGAGTAGAAGTGATGGAAATATCCGGGGTCAGGTGCATCATTTGGACTTGAACAGCAGTAGGCACCCCTTGTTCTCTGAGTCTGCAGGGAAGGACACAAAAACAGTTCCAGGAGCAAGTGGGTTTATAGAAAGACTTTGCCCAATGGTTCTAATTTTCCCTAAGCAATACAAGGCATAATTGTGTAGGAAAGAGAATAAGAGACGTAGCTGTTGAGTAAGGAAATCAAGAAGAATCACTTCTCAGCATTTGGGCTAAGATCAAGTGTGAAATTAAAAAGAATCAAGATTTATAAGGACAAAGGGGAGAATGGTTTTATTGATTCAGAGATTAGCTGGAATGGAAGGAAGAGGGCTAAGTGGGGTGGAGAACATGAGGGGAGGGGAGGAATAAGACCTGCTGAAGTAAAGGATGGGGGGTCATGGGAATTAGATTTGGGTTAACCCTGCTGAGGAAGAGGTTCATGGAGCTGACCTGGAATGGGAGCAGGTGCTGAGGAATGGGGAAGAGGTTTCTGGCAGGTGCAATCATCGAGAAAGTGAAACGTGTTGATGAGTTGTACACATGGACATGAAGGTTACCAATGGTGATGGCAGAAATGGAACAGAGATAAAGACTTGACAGCTCAGGGAAGGAGGTCAGAGGACCAGAAAGGGAACAGATGGTGGAAAGGTAAAGGAGCGGAGGTAGAGGAGAGTGGGACTTAGGATGAGACGAGGGTACCTGGACTGCACCCCGCGCAGGCCAGATGGGGTACCTGGACTGCACCCCGCGCAGGCCAGAGGAGGCCAATGCAGTGAGGGCCATTAGGCAATGGGAGAGATCAGACTCTGGGCTCTTCCTGTGCGTCTCCTCAGCATCGTTCCTGCATCTCTGACGGCGTGTTGCTCTATTTTCCCTCCTCCCAGACCTTCCGCATTGCGCCCCCCATGTGCATCACTAAAGCAGAAGCTGACTTTGCGGTGGAAGTGTTCCGTTGTGCCTTAAACCAGCACATGGAGAGAAGAGTGAAGTCGCATTGTTAGAAGTCAGAAAACCTCAAGCCTTGAGAACGTCGCACTTACAGTCAAGGGTGAATGTGAGGAATTTAAGATCTATGAATATTTGTACAAAACCTGCAGTGTGAAAGGCAAGGTGGTCTGCTCCCAGCCCTTCTGGTCAGAGGGAGAAGCCTTGGGTCAGAGCCAAAATCCCAGCCCATCTGGGTTGGTTGGTGCCCCACTGCACAAACATGTGACTCATTTCTGGTTGACAAATCCAGAAAAGCTTTCTTCACACTTGAGTCCTCAGCTTAGGACGAGGTGTCCTGTTTGTGCACTGAAAACACTGCACATCACGTAAGGATCATGGGAGCTACATCAGCTGGCGTGGGACCACAAAGATAAATCCCATTTGCTAAGATTGGAAAGTAGACAGAAGCTAAATGTTAAGTGGCAGAGCCGCCTTACCTGAGCACCTCCAATTCCGTGAGATAGTAAGCTCACTGTATTGTATAAGCCTTCTTGATATGCATTTGCTGTTACCTAATTGCTCAGAGAAATAGCTGCCCCTCCCTTGTTTTCCTTAAAACATGTGTCAAAGCCGTTTTTCTCCACTTTCACTGCCATCATCCCACCCTGATCGAAACATCATCGTTGTTATAAGAATCCCTGAGACTAGAATTTTCCAGGCTTTCATCATTAGAGTGAACATTCATATTGTTTCCACGTATCCATCCATGTGGCACTTGTCTTAAAATGATCAATTTTTTTCATTTAATCTCATCTTTCATTAAGGTATATTTAATATTAAACTTTTTATGAGAAATCATTTCTACTTTCCAGAGGGAAAAAGACACCATCAAAAGAGCATGAACACAAAGCAATATAATGCTGCCCTAGCAAGACGTGGGTGTTTGCAAATATTGTCAGCCTTAAGCCTGATTGTTCTTTGTGCAAAGAGATTTCACGGTATTTGAAGGATATTAGAATATACTGGAAAGCTGAGACCCTCTCCTACACACAGAGCAACATCTGGAGACGCGTCCTGGTTTATAGCCGAGTCATCACTGTCCACTCTCCACTCCCCAAATGTGTTTTATCACTACACCCTACTTCATGGCCAGATTTATCTCCATTGGCCTGTGATTTAAAATGCAGCATTCCCTAGCACAGCACCTTCCAGTCATTCCTCCTCACCTAGCTAAAGTCAAAACTCCTTAGCACCTGTTCTGGTACAATGGGAATATAGTTGGGTTAAAAATCAAATTACCTGGAACTCGGAACCTCTATTTCTTTGTAATAAATAGCCTTGGACAAGCCTTTGAGCCTCGGTTTGTTTCTAAGCACAGCAATCTTCTCCCTTCTTAGCACCTAGAGTTGTTTTGGAAATCAAGTAAACCAACAAATATGTAAATTCATGAATACATGAATAAAGATGTCCTCCCTCCTGGCCACACTTCTCTCCCTCACTACAAAATGTTTTGCTGGGAAGTGTTTTATGCTTGATTTTTTTTCCTGCTTTGTCTCCCATCCAAGCCCCAAGCACTAGAATCTCATTTCTGTCTCCCAGTCATTGTTTGGAACCTGCCTTCTCAAAAAAAACATTGGTGATTTCCTTATGGCCAAAACAATGTTTCCTCTGCCTGGGTTTGCAGAACAATATATCGCCCTTCTGGTTTCTGTGGCGCAGTCCTCCTGTTTCAGACCACGCCTTCCCAGCCTCTTTCCCGGAAACCCGTCAACCCTGACAGCCTCTCCTGAGCCATCTTTTCTTCCATGCTGTGCTCTCCCCCTGTGACATTACCCACTCCTTGACCATGCTGATTCTTTCAAACATTTATCTTACATTTCCAACCTTCTTACAGAGTTCCAGCCTCAAAAATTATAGCACTCTGTAAACACTGTTTGAATACCATAGGAACATTTCAAATTCCGCAGGTTTGACACCAAGCCTATTTCTCCCTCCCTCCCTCCCTCTCTCTCTCCTACCCTTCCTCCCTCCCTCCCTCTCTTTTTCTCTCCCCTCCTCTCTCTCTGTTCCACACCACCTCTAATTCTCTTCTTTATTAATGGTACCCTTATTAACTCTGGCTTCCAATTAAAGTTGTTGTTGTTTTCCTTATCCTCCTGACCTATGTATAACTAAGTCTCATGAATACTTTCTCCAACATAACTTTTCCAACATGGCCCACTGATACCATCATTATCTTTATTTAGACCATCATCTCCCTAAATGATTTAAACTGCCTTCTAACTGGCATCCTACACTGCTATATGCTCCATCCACACTGGTGCCAAAATAATGTACTCAGAAATATGACCACATCTTTCATCTGCTGGAAACCTCAAAGGATCCCTATCATCCAAAGAACCAAGTCCAAACCCCCAACTGTTACAACCTTCCAGAACCTTCACAGTTTGTCTCCTGGTCACATTTTGAGCTTTCTTGCTGCCATTCTTCCCATGCCTTGCACTTTGCATTTTTGCTTCTATAGTTAGTTTACTCTTCCTAATATGTTCTCTTTACCAGTGAAAATTACGTAATCAGGGCAATTGGAAAAGACACACATAGTTGTTTGCCACAGTCTTCCCAAGTCCAGTAACACATATCCTCTAAAATAAAAGAAAAAGAACACTGAAAAATAAAGGTTTTGATAACCTCATAGGAGTTTAGGGAACTATGAAGAGGTAACAATAAAAATTAAGTGTAATATCAACAACGAATGATTTTCCCATGCTCAGCCCAACAACCCTGCCAATACATCTTCTCTCAGAAATAGACAGTTAGAAGATTTATTCAGATCAATTCATACAGCAGAGTGCTTGTGAATTCCCAAAGGTTTCTTATATATACCTAACACCACACCCTGTTAGTTCCCACCTTCTGAGGACAGCCCAGTGTCAAAGTGTCCTAGCTCACCTCTTGTTGCTGTAATAGTTTAATTGATAAAGAATGTGGTGCTGGCTGCCGCTCAGCTTCTGGTGATGGCTTCATGCTGCTTTGATCAGGAAACAGAAGGTAAGTGGATCTGCAAGAAGAGAGCGTGAACTGTGGGTCTGCTTTGTAGCAATTACATCTTACAGCAACTAGTCCAGCCCACCAGAGGCAGAACTTGTGAAAGCTCTGCCCCCATCCTCAAAACCACTCCTTTGGGACCCAGTTCCCAACACTACCACACTGGAGACAAATCCCTAGCAAGAGGGCTGGTGGGGACAAACCAGAGCCCAAAGCAGCAATGAAATTCTCACAGGTCACCAGGCCTTGGGTCTCATCCTTTGCTTTCCAAGGCTGCATGGCTCCATCCAAGTTGCTATGGATCAGGATAACTCGCAAGTCTTTCTTGAAGAGCAGCTGATGATTGAAGACAAGTACACATCACAAGCTTTACAGCAGAGAGGGTCAAATGTGACCTTAGAACATGCAGGGCCATTCCTTTCCTTCACTTTGTTATAAACATGATGAATTCCTCTTGCCTTCCATTTGGAGTTGTGGGCACATTAGCACCACCTTTTCTGACTTCCATTTTCTGCTCTACCCACGGGAGGTGGGATGTGAGCCAGCTTACATAAGGCTGGGAGCCCACATTTGTGCCAAGCTCTTCTATATTTCCTTTCTTGTTGAAACTGTCTAAAGTAAATGGTCATGATCATCCAGCTCAAAGAAACTCTTCCCCATGAGAAACATATTGACATAGAGCATTAAAAATTTGACAATTGTTTAAAAACATTTGAAGTGCCAATCTACTTAGGATAGGGTAATTGTTCAAGATTCTATCACAGCAAGTTTGGGTTATAATAAACTAACAGTAATTATTATAGCTCCTGTGAATAGATGCTACAGTAATAAACTATACTTTTCTATGTATCGTAAAATGTCTTGTGTATCAGCATAGCTTTCAACTTTCTAGAACAGTTGTCCATCATTATCCATGGAGCATTGTTTCCAGCCCCGTGCCCCTAGATATCAGAACTTACAAATGCTCAAGCTCCTTCTAGAACATGACATGGAATTTGCATGTAACTCAAGATGTCTTCTCATACACTTTAAATTGCATATTCTGGAGCACATATTATACTTAATATAATATGAATGTTACATAAGTGATTGTGATACAAATTAATTCAGGAATGATGAGAAGGAAAAAAGCCTATTAATATTCATCACACACACAATGTTTTATAAAATATGTTTCATCTACCTCTGGTTGAACACGTAGATTCAGATGCATGGATACAAAGGCTCAACCACAGGGAGCTTAATTCTTTTTATTTAAATCATTTAGAAATCTTCCATTTCCTGAATGACAAGAGAGCAATGGCAAACATCACACGGGCCTCTTCATCATGAAGATTAGTGTCAGAGGATCAGTCATTAGTAGCTCTGTCCTACATCAGCAGTTTATTCTTTGTTAACTAAAGCTAAAGGCTCACTTCCAGTTGAGGCATAATCAGTAAAAACGACAGATTCACCATTATTTGAGGGAGTGTTTGGCCTGTTTGGTTAAAATATGACTTAGGACACTTTCACCCCATATGAGGGTGCCAGCCCCTAGTCCCAGCTTCCTAGAAATGCATGCTCCAATAGGTTATGGCTCATGTAGCTGAGCTCCTGTCACTCATCTGGGAAATCTAGATTCGGTTCTTTATTGTCTGTGTTTCTAGAGCCTTTTTCAAGAAGTCTCTACCTGTGCCAATGAAGAAACTACAGAGTTTCTTCAATATTTTCCATCAGTCATTTGAAGGTTGTGGATTTAGATCCTCAATCCATTTTGAGCTGATTTTTGCATAAGATGTAAAGTAGGGGTCTTGTTTTGCATTTCTGTAAGTAGAGATCCAATTTCACCCACATCATGTTGAGGGTTTTTATTCGGACCCTTTCATCTGTTTGTCAATTATTATGACAATACTAGGCTATTTTGATTATAAATATTCTGAAACCTGGTATTATGGCTCTTCTGGCTTTGTTTTTGTTATTCAAAATCACTTTAGCTATTTGGAGTCGTGTGTTTTCATATTAATTTTAGCATTGATTTTTCCACATTAAGATGTTGTTAGTGTGTTGATTTGGATTAGATTTGTAAATTGCTTTGGACAGTATGGACATTTTGATGATACTAATTCTTCCAATCCATGAATGTAACAGATTCTTTCACTTACTTGTGTTGTTGTTCATTTCTTTAATGTTTTGTAATTTTCAATGTAGAGATCTGTCACATCCTTGATTAGGTTTAGGTTTCATAGCTTCTGCTGTAACTTCCTTAGTAGGCAGTTGGCTGTCACCATCTCAGGCCAGCACTCGTAATTATGGATGTATCTGGATCTGCTTAACTAGACTCCAAGCTACTAGCTGGTGATCTTATCTTAATTCTCCTAAATTTAGTGCCTAACACAGCGCTCCTCACAGTACCATTCACATTTCATAAATAGAAAATGTGACACTTTAGACAGCATTTGAGATAAATGATTAGCTATCTAATAAGGCCATCGGTATGTGTGCTTTATTTAGGAATAGGTATAATAAATATGCATGAACACATATATCATTAGACTTATGTATTTCAAATCCAAAGTATGCATGTTTTTGGATACATACCATACATAAATAGGTACTAAATATTGTCTCAGAAAGGAACGAAACCACTGTAAGTTGACTTATGACAAGGCTTTTATAAGCCTGGGAAGAATTTAGAAGCTTCCCAGAAATCTTTCATGCTTCCTGTCAGGCCAAATTGTACATCTTTGCGCTCTCCTCAGACCTGCAGCTCACCTCTTTGCCCTTCTTGTTCTTGGCACATGTCATAGCATTTAATAGAAAAAAATTGGGAAAATATCCAACAAGAATTCTGATTAACTCTCCTGCACAAAGCCCTCTACTGCCTTGTGAGAGCTGCCTCTTGCCCACGCCCAGCAGGTGCCCCTGTACCATTACCTAGCTTCCTGCCCTCTGACTTGCTGACCTCTCAGTTGTCTCAGAGCCAGACCTGTATCTGAACAGCACCTACCCCAAAGCCCATGCTCTACCAGCTGCCTGCCCCCATCCCACAGCCTGTGTTCACATTCATGGTCAGGCCATTATCACCTCCACCTTCGCCCTCCCCTGTGTTCTCCAGGGTCTTGCTGTGTGAGTTGCTCATTGTCCATTGGATATTTCACTCTGCATTTTCGTTTCATTTCACTGTGTAAGCAAGTCTGCTCATCTTTCCATTAAATAAAAAGCTTTGTCCAAACCAACAGTTATCCTCTTGCTAAGCGTGATGCAGCGAGGAAGCAGCAGGGAAATGCTGCATTTCCCCCCCGCCCCAAACGTCCACTTCCCTC